GCGGGCCCGCACAGAGTTTGCCCGTCGGTCGTTCTTCAATCGGGCGGTGAGAGCGTGGAATGGGCTACCGCTGAGTGCGAGAAACGCGTCTTCTCTTCCTGTCTTTAAAAAGTGTATCGCAGATGCCTTTTAAAGGGTGATGCAAATGTGGATTGATAGGAAAATGCTTTTACTTGTCCTACATGACGTGGAACGCTGAAAACCCATTTTATGGATGTATTCCTAAATATATGATATGATATGATATGACCTAATTTTTTCAGCAAATGAATCACAATTGTACGGTATATGTTATGGACGTTGTCTCGATGTGAAGCACGCTGTGCGTTTTTTGGTAGGCCTATGTAAATATTGAAATTCTCAAGCCCTTCTGCTTTGTGCAAGTGTGCAACAATTAGCTTACAATAACTGAGTGGGAAGTTTTTTAGATGCACTTTTGTTACCAATGGATTCCGCACATTTCCCCCTTTCAGCTGATATCTTACTTACGCATGTTCAAGCAAAGAATACTGACAGGAGACTCGTCAACATTTACATGAAAATCGCAGCACAAGTTCGGTCTCACGGAGCAAAACAAAACGGTGTACTTTGGGAGCCCACCAATCTGTGCCAGAATGAGTAATATTTTTTCTGGATGATATTTTATACAGTCTGATCAATTTACGACCAGAAAATGTGAGAAAATCACGCTTTAAAATTTGTCGAAAATTAGGGTATTGGCCACTTCTGAACCCAGATAGCGGCTGTGCGCAGTGGCGGTCTCAGCCAACTTCGCCCTAGTGGGGGGGGGGGGGCATACGTTACCACCCACCTCAACTCAAAACTAAGAGGGCTAGAAAGACGCAGTAAAAAGCAGTCGATAGCTCTCAATGCGTACGTTTCAAAGTATTTCGGTCCCTTTTCATCTTAGAGCAATATTGGGATCACTGGAGGTCATCAAAGGTCAACATTTGCCAAATGTCATTATATTTTTCAGAAAACATGCATTTATCTCAGGAACTATGATAGCTAGAAAAACGCACGGAAAAGCAATCGATAGCTTTTGAACTGTTCTTTTGATATGGCCTAATGAAAATTGACCTCAGGTCAACGGTTTAGCCTCCAGAGGGCAAAAAACTAAAAAATAGCTGTTTTTACGAAAAAATGTTTTTCGACAATATCTTTTGACTAAAAAAAAGCCACGACATTTCTATTGCCAGAATCGTGTTCCCCTCGCCGAGACGCGTCGAATGAACTATAAGTTGACCTTGAAAGGTCAACTTGAAAATTTGACCTCAAAGGTCAATTGACCGGAAAAGGTCATGTCGCATATCAGTCGGTGCGTCTCGACAAGACAAACACAATGAAGCCATCCCCAGCGTCCTATCTCTTTCCAACCGAGAGTTATTGGCAACAATATGTTTGTAGCCTCAAATGACCTCGGATGACCTTTCTGGAGGCTATCAGCAAAAAAAAGACACTTTGGTCGTCACGGGTGGTCCAAATCATAGTGATTCTGAGATATTTGGACTGTTCCTATGCGTACACACGGATTTAGAGGCATTTTCATTTTTCTCCGTTGACTTAAAATGGTAGGGTAGGGTGGGGTAATTTGAACATGTGGGGCAATTTGAACATAGTGTGAATAACACAAAATTACGGAAATCCATAAGTCGCATGACAATAAGACCAATGAGAGAAATTATCGTAACTAAAAGGGCTATCATATGAACGGGGTTTAAAGTTTCAGGGAATGAAGATGTTGACGCACAGTGTAAAAAATCAATTTCGCAAGCAAAAACGCCTAACAACATGTCATTGCAACTTCATTGCAGTGCAAAATCTTGCATTGCTAGCGCCTAATACGCAACGGCTTTTGTTGTATAATGACCTAATCAGTGCCTTCAATCCAAGAAATTTGCTTTTGAACCCTGTTTTTTAAAATGGCAAAATAACTTTTAGCGTGGGGTAATTTGAACATAGTGTGAGAATTTGAATGAAGACAGGGATAGCTCCGAAAAAAAAAACAACGCTCCCAGTTTTTTTTTGCCAATATTTTCGACCCAAGGCAGTAGCAGATAAGTGATGCCAGTTTTAGAAAATTTACGTCTAATATCCGTCTAATGTCCGGCATTTTTGTTGATTTTCCGTCCAAAAATGTTAAAGGTAGTGTGCCAGCTTTCTTGGACCATATGGAGTTAATGACCCGGATAAGGAGAACCGGATTTTTAGAACTTATCCATACCTTCAAAACTTATGGAAACGTCTTAAATTCTTCAAATTTTGAGTACCCCAGTGCGAAATTCGCCCCGACGGGTTGTCGGTCGTACCCCAACCACATTTCACACCACTATGAACAATAAATGCACACACTAAAATCGCTATTACCGATAGGCTCATCCAATCAAGTTTCGATAAACCCGTTCATCATCATCTCCTGCGGTTTCGAACACGCCTGTTAGGTGGCTTCTGATGCTCGTCGAGGTCGGAATTTCCAAATACGCGTGGTGCGTCGGGCCGCGCGCTCTGACTTCGGCCAAGAAAAATGCGTCAGCTGATCATTGTCATTTCTGCCACTCGCGTGTGGTGTAATGGGGTCATAACTTAAGAGACGGCTGTTTCATATCAATTATTTTACATAAAATCATATTTCAAACCACAAATTAATGTTCGACAGCCAAATTTAAGAAACAATACCAATACAGGCTTACAGTTTAAGGCTCGACATTGTGTTGTCTACGATTAGACAGCTGATAACTCATTCCCGTACGTCGTATGGTCGTAACACTATAATGACCTTTGCTTATTGTCACAAGTGCGCCGCATTCGCGATTGTTGCCCGACGCCTGTTTGCAGGTGAGCCCACTACAGTTGTTATACATATCTAAAAACCGATAAACTTTTAGGCGAAAAAGGCACTATTCCAGGCCCATTTTTGATTTTTTTTTGCGATATTAGGTAAAAACAGAAGCTTCTTATCCTAGGAAAAATAAAACGGGAAATCTTTCAAAGGTGGCACACTACCTTTAAAGTCAACTATTTGTCCAAATATGTCCGAAAATTTATGCAGCTATCAACACTCAAAACCGTCATTTATATTGCTTATCATGTAATTTTACCAGCCGAAAAGTTTTCATTATATTGAGAGCTTAACAAGCTTTCCATTCGCCAATCAATGCTATGCACGATTACTTTATAAAAAGCGCTGAAGTGTAGCAAGCCATCGTCCAATGTTGTCCAGTCTGCTACCTTTGTCCAACCAATTCCGAATTGGACATTGGACAAAATCAGAACTCCAAATGTCCAGGTTTCGATTGGCACCACTTTAACAGATGTAGTACGGTTGGGAGAGTTTTTATCGAACAAAAATGATAGACGTTCTGTTAATTGAAAAGGGGCGAATTCCGTCAACTGACCGGTGTGCAGCGTGCAGATATTGATACTCTGCAACTGTTATTTTTGCTGTTGTGTTGATTTTTCAAGTGAAGGTATGTTTAGAATTGTTCTGCCTATTTGTTTATGGGTCAAACAACATCGGTGCTGGCGAGACTATCGTTTTTATGACAGGTAAAGGCAGTATGTTCAAATTACCCCACGGTGGGGCAATTTGAACACACCGTGACTTGGTGGAGAAGTGAGGCTATGCTATTCAAGGTATGCTCGGCTCGTCCAAAAATGAGGCTTGCATGGTGAAAGCAAGTGACACTTGCGCTACTGAAGCAGTTTTTCTTCATCCAGGGTTGAACTGGAATTTGGTACAATGGAGAAGACGTAAAAATATGTTCAAATTACCCCACACTACCCTAAGGTCACGCCACTGGCCTGACCTTAGGTCACGGATATAAAAAATCCGAGATATACAAATTGTAGGCGCCCATATCATCATGCAATCCACCAAGTTTAAAACCTTTCTGACAAACACTGCAGGCTGGACGTGATTGCAAACTTTTTTTAGGCATAGTTAGTTAAATTGACCTGGTGACCTGACCTGACATGACCTGGGGTCAAAAATTTTACATATTGTCCAAAATTGATGCACAAAAAGCTACCCCAAGCGGCGCGGCGTTACGCGCCGCGGTTTTTTATCCACACGCAAAAACACGCGACAGGGTGGTAACATATGCCCCCCCCCCCCCCCCCACTGGGGCGAAGGTTAATCGTGACGAGCTGCATAGAATCGACACCCATTTTATGCAAAATAATCAAGTTTGATCTTTGACCTTTTTTGACCTGGCCTTGACCTGAACTTTACCGGAATCTAACCAGAGCTGCCTGGTCGCCTAGCCCACACCATTGAACTTGATATGCACAATCGACCATAAAACATGCATCATATGACCTTAGTAAAGTTGGGTCAGTATTGTGACCCTCAGTGACCTGAGCTCTGACCTGTCCTGACATCAGTGACTTCATCTAGCAAAATAGGTATCAGACAAACAGTGCTCTATCGGTGATTTTCGATCACATGCCTTTTATTCGATGCTATAACATATTTTAACAAGGCTTTAAACGGTCAGAAATGCGACCTTTAATCTGACCTATGACGTCATCGGATACACAGAGGTCAATGAAATCGGCTCACATGGTAGTTTCCCGGTGGGGCTGTGGAACGTCGTTTGAATGTTGAAAACCTTTCGGTAACTTTCTGAGATCTAGGGAGGGGACAAACGCCCCCCCCCCCGCCGGATGGCAGGGTCCGGCAATAGCCCTACGGAGCGCTGGTTAACATTCCGTTACATTGCGTTAATTTAATGATATAAGTTTGAGCGTCTCGCTAAACGGCATCGGGTCAGGCAAAGGACAAAACGGCATTCAAACCTAGCTTTACCAGGCATCAAATCCAGCACAATGTATTTTTATGCATGTCTACATCAACATGAATGAGCAGGCACGTTTAAAAACATTTTGGAACAATAACATTCACACTATTCATGAAGAATTAGGTACGTATTATACGTAATTCTATTTTTTCATAATATAACATTTCAAAATATGACCCTTCCCTGCGTTCGCCCACCTACCTCAACGAGAGTTGTGTCGTAGGTCAGTGGCCTCCAGTAGCGCTCTCCACGTCCGCCTACCACGAGCCGGCCGGTCGCAGTGTCGAGCGCGCAGCCCGCTCCGTCCTCTGACGACCTACCCCACCCCTCTGCCCTCCCCACCCCACCACCCGGCGGGAGGGAGGGTAGGCAGGTCACGTGATCTCACTACTCACTACAGCGGCTGTGTGCTCCGTGAGGTGAGGCTAGGTCACGTGACTAGTACGCAGGCGGCACGTGTGACTGAGGCGAGAGTAGGTCACGTGACTATTTGTCCCGTTGCTTCTGTAGCCAGTATAAGAAGATGGTAAGTCACGTGAAAACTTCCAGCCTCTAGCTTGACCTTGGAGTGACGCTCGTATTAAATGCCGCAGATCTGCCCCGGGAGCTATGGGGCCTCTCTCACAGGCTTTGACGTCAGGGGCAGACGGGTTCTAGCGTCCGATATTGCATGCAAATGTGCACTTTAGCCAGCTGCCAAACCACGAGGGGCCATGGAGACACCATCAAATACCCCGGCAAGTCATACCCAATGACCCTCGAACACCACTTGGGCACGAGACAGTTATAAAACAGCAGCACTGACTTGCGAGCGAGGGTCTACCTGGCTAGCGTTTGAACTGAAAAACACGAAACGGTAAGAAGTGAAAATTGTACGACTTATATCCTGGATTCCTGGATAAAAACGAGGAGATAGGATTTAAAAGCGACAATCTGAGATGAATGAATACAGAAACGTTGGGAATCGAAATGTGACATCATTGATGCCCTCTTACCATTATTTTCCAAAGCGTGACTTGTCCGACAAGCCAAACAACGGCGCTCACACGGTCACTGCGGAGACGGGAAGGTTAGTTACATAGGGTCTGTTCCAGTCGCACTTCCAATCACCTCTAAAGTCCTCCAAGAGCAAGATAGAGGAGGTTGGAGCTTATAGGGAGCTATAGCCCTCGCATGGGCGTAGGAACGGCTGGAACATTGTGGGTGCACGGGTGCAGAAATCTAGCCATGGCCGGTGAAGCAGGGGGGGGGGGTAGGGAGTGATACCCGAGCGAAGGCTCGTTACGAGCTTTGAGGGTGTACCATGTCGAAAAGGTACCGACCGATAAGTGCATTTGGAAGCATTGACCCTCGCATGTGTAGGGGGTCGGATGAACCTCCCATGTTTTTTGCAATAACTCACGCAAAAAGCGGCCGATCGCGACGAAACCCTTAGTACCCTCGAGTTGATCAGTTTTACACCTACTCTGAAAATTTCATGACCCTGACCCAAAAGACCTTTGACCTGTGACCTGATTTTCGAGACCATGTTCGGCCGGAATCGCGATTTGGCGTATGTCAGCTCACATTATCCGCGTGTTTCCAGTCTTTTTGTGATTGTAGACGTCCAAACATGTGAAATGATGCTCGTCCCATGCATCACAGTGGGTGTGAAGGTCACCTGAAGGTCAGGTCAGGTCATTGACCTTTGATGACCTCGGTTCACTTTTCGAGTTTTACATGTTTCTAGGGTAGTTTTTCGGGCTGATTTCGAATTTAGCATATTTGAACGTTTACGAAGTAGTTTTAGTGCCTTCGTAACATGCTACGACGCCGTCAGTGGTAGTTGACACCTACTATGGATAGCCGGTAGGACGCCTAATAGTTGACCTGACTTGACCTGACCCGATCTGGCCCAAATGCATGAAGAAATCATCTGTGATCAAAACTAGCATCAGATATTCGTGAGCAGCACCCCGAAAAACCCGATAAGAGCTTCACTTTACGCAGTTCTAGCAGGTCCCGATTTTCCAGACTTTTGGAATATTGACCTGACCTGGAAGGTCAACCAATGACCTAGGACCTAAAAATTGGGTATCATCGGCTTCCTCTCGTCACGGGCAGCACCCTCGTTTTTTTCGCGAAGCTCTAGCTCGATCAGGGGCCGAACGGCAGGGGGGTCCGACCGACCCCCCCCCCCCCCCTACACATTAGAAGAGCTGGAAAACGCCGCACACATGGAGGGTTAATATTGTCAATATTGACTACCGCGAAAAGTAAAAACGGCCAGCTTAGCCATTTTTGAAGATATCGGGCGAAAAATTTTGACAGTGGGTCATCGGTTCGGTATGTGTTCAATTGCACATGCTCCATTTCTTTTTTTTTCTTCAGCACAAATGTAAGTTTTGAAGACCATCATCACAGTAGCAAATGCTTCGAAAGATGGATAGTAGGCAACATATCCTGAATGTGCCGTGCTGCATGGGAAGTAGTGTTGATGAGAAAAGGGGTTTTTGGTTCAGATTATTGTGGGTGCAGAATACATTGTCTGCACCCACTGGAGACATAATGGGTGCAGCTGCACCCTTGCACCCATGGTTCCTACGCTTATGCCTCGTTGGCTTTATAGGGGCTACAGCTGCCACTGGAACAGGAAAGCAATCTTGGAGGATTTTAGAGGTGTTGGGAAGTGCGACTGGAACAGACCCATAGACTATTTTCTCTCACCAGTTGTCTGGGTAGGATGACCTTCAGACCGGAACAGTGAAGCAGCATCAATGATGGGGATCAGACTGACCTAAGGAAAAAGGACGGATGAACACAGCAGGTATCCTACCGGCTAACGTTTGTCGCTACGTACTAAATGCCACTCGAAATATAATGAGGGCTGAAAACAACGCCTTGTAAGTACGTAGCAGTACGGTCTATCAGGAAGTGCGGTCCATTGGCCCAGCGCGAAATGCAAGTGAAGCTTTGCAACACGCAAAAAAATATTTTGCCGTAACCCGTAGTACTGCCAGAATATCACTTAAGTTTGACTTCAGAGGTGATCTATTTAGATGTTTTTTTTTATTCAATACATAATACTCTAATTACCTACATAGCATCAACCTATAGTCCGTTTTTCTTATCTTTAGACTTCACTCCAAGATGTGCAGATAACTTAGCACGTGACGTCACACAATCGGATATATTATAAAAGAGAAGTTGTCGGTCTGTACGTCTGTGTGTCACAAAAGAAAAGTGTCATCCACATCTGGGTGTCTTGCGCCGGAACGGCGCCATCCAGGAACGTGAAATTTGGCAGGCACCAAGCGTGGTCAAATCGAACGATGGTATTAAAATTTGGGCGCAATCCGACCAGGGGTGCGTCTCTGGTAGGGTCAAGAGCACGAGGCACGCTCGCCATTGGTTTAACACGGGGCGCGAAAAACGGCGCCGTCGGCCGAAATCGGTCCGACGCGTGCTCCTTTCCGGGCTTATATCTTGACGACCGGTTGTCACAGCGACACGCGGTTGCCACCGATCGATAGAGGAGAGCTAAAGCTAGCGTATTGATGTGGTTTTATAACGTTGGGCGCGTCACGTGCACATCAGGACCAATTGTTGTGAAAAAATGACCGATTTCGTGCCTCGTGGAGGAAAAATCGTTGTCGTTAGAGAACGCCTTGACCGAATGAAATCGGTGTGGTACCATTTTTTAGGTAATTGCACGTGTGATGCAATGAATAAAAAGAAAAAGTGATTGTTACTACCACTTTCTTAATAACGAAAGATTTATTTGAAAGTTTGATGCGCGCAGAATGCGCTGTCCTTTACAACATCATAACGTATCGAAAACGTTGAAAATTGTTCATGAAACACACATATTCGGATAGCGCATACTTTTCTCATCAATATTCACCCAAAATATTATCAAAAAGTCAATAAACTTCCGTGAAAATGACTCAGGCATACCACCGTGTTTTGTTAACGTTAGACATATTTTCCGATGAAATCCGATCGATGGCTTATAGCCGGCATGTCATTGCACTTTTGCCAATCAGTCAGCACGGCATAGGCTGCAAGGCACCGCCCGCTTAGGGATATTGCAAACCCTTGAAAATTGTACTTATATATAACTCAGCCGTTTCTGGGCCGATTGCGCTGAAACTTGGACTGTCGGCAGGCAGGGCACTCACCAAGCGATGTAGGGTCATGTGTCACAGGTGGGGTGGACTCATGCACGTGCGCACGTGAGGGGGTCTGCTTCTACATCTGATGAATCCCTGGGTCGATTTCAATCAAATTTTGTTCACTGTTAGGGACAATTCAGACAGGTGGCTGACATAAGCCATCTGGAGTTTATTAAGCGCGTGCGCACATGCAGGGGCCCATTTATATATCTCAAGAACAGGTAGGACGATAGCACTCAGATTTGGTAAAACCCCTCGGTCAAGTATGAGTAGGGCATGAGTATGCCGGGTATAGGTAGGGTGCGGTATGGGAAGGGTAGGATATGGGTAGGGTAGGCTTTGGGTAGGGTAGGTTTTGGGTAGGGTAGGCTTTGGGTAGGGTAGGGTAGGGTAGGGTATGTATTGTTAGGGTAGGGTAGGGTAGGGTAGGGTAGGGTATGTATTGTTAGGGTAGGGTAGGGTATTGTATGGGTAGGGTAGTGTATAGGATGGAGGTAGTTTTGGGTATGGGTAGGGTATGGGTAGGACTAGGGTATGGGAAGGACTAGGGTATGGGTAGGACTAGGGTATGGGTAGGACTAGGGTATGGGTAGGGTATGTATATTGGTAGGGTAGGGTAGGGCCTTTTGCGGCTTTTCCGATTGGCGGCGGATGGGCGTGCGATGCGGGCGGTTTCCTTTGTTGCGGCGTTTGCGGCGTTTTGCGGTTGGCGGCGGGCAGGCGTGCGATGCGGGCGTTTTTTTTTTGCGGCGGTGTTTGCGTTTTTGCGGTGTTATCGTTTATCGGCGGGCGGCCGTTTTTTGCGGCGTTTTGCGGTTGGCGGCGGGCAGGCGTGCGATGCGGGCGTTTTTTTGCGGCGGTGTTTGTGTTTGGCGGCGGGCGGGCGGGCGGTTTTGATTTGTTTGCGGCGTTTTTTGCGTTTTTTGCGGTTGGCGGCGGGCGGGCGATTTTTTTGTTTCCTTCTTACGGTGTTTGCGTTTGGGGCGAGCGCGCGCTTTTTTGCGGTGTTTGCGTTTGGTGGCGGATGGGCGATTTTTAGGCGTTTTCGGTTGGCGGTTAGCGTGCGTGCGATGCGGACGTTTTTTAGGCGTTTTTGCGTTTTTTTTTGCGTTGGGCGGGCGATTGTTTATTTTTTTGCGACGTTTGCGTCGGCATTTCGGGCGTGCGTTTGGCGCATTTTGCGGTTTTAGCGTTTGGCGGCGGGCGGCTGTTTTTTCGAGGTGTTTGCGGTTGGCGGCGGGCGGGCGTGCGATGCGGTTTTCATTTTTGCAGCGTTTGCGGTTGGCGGCGGGCGGGCGCGCGATGCGGGCGGTTTTTATTTTTTGCGGCGTTTG